TATCTCTATATAGAAAAAGGTCAGCACCACACATTGTCCAGATTGCATCTAGACAACTGACAAAACCCCTCAACAATTAAACCATAATTTAATAGATTTATGGCATTTGGTTTACATATGTCATAAAGCAAAGCTATTAAAACAAGGTAATTCACTTTGCTCACTTTTGCACACAAAGTAATAGTTTAATAAAATGAAAACCAAACAACATTCTTTTAAAATTAAAACCATTCTCCCAAAGTCCTAAACCCTAAGCAGAGCGGAGTCCTAGCAGTTAAAAGAGTGGTATATGGTATCAGCCTTGACATGATTTTACATTCACCTCAACCAGAATAGGAAAAGCGAAAGCATTTTATATATATAAAGCAAATTTATATATATAAACAGACTCACTACCAAAATCAGTTAGTAAGAGCAAACAGACTTCATTGTGACACACGAGGAATCAAAGCTCTCATATTCTCTCTCCCCACTGCTGTGTAACTCATTACCAGCAACAGGATTTAAGAAATAAAATAAGGGAGATTACAGCTTCTCGGAGCATTCAGCAGAGCTGCCAACCTTAATCTAATACCTTTCTCCACTAGAACTTGTGTCTTGCCAGATCAACCAGTAGGAACACTTCAGCAGACTCTTCCTATCCTTTCCCCAGCACACTGTCTTTATATTCTGAGCATCTTCAAAAGTAAAAAACAAGCCTCAAACAACTTAGCCTCCTTCAAAAACAAAGTGTACTTACATAATCTCCAAAAACCATTTCTGGTTTCCAGAAGGTCAGGAAAATTAAAAGGCTGTTGTACTGAAGATTACTAAAAGAACAGAATACTTATAAAATACATTAGTCATGTGCTTGCTTGTGTTGCACTTAGAATGTAATGTTTCAATCAGATGCGTTAGACATTGCATGAATTTCCACACTAGAATCCATGGCTTCAGAAGCTGAAGCATCATTATCTACTTTCTGTTCCACAAACGCTTCTGTTCTGTCTGGAGACTCAACCCTGTTTCTCACTTCTGTTACCCCGGGGTGATTTTTTCGCAAGTGCTGGTTTAGTGTACCCTGGAAAGGAAAACATTTTCCACAGATCTCACAGCGAAAGGGTTTGTCATCTGTGTGACCACGAATATGATACTCAAGTTGGTCCTTACGGGTGTATTTCTTTCCACAAAACTTGCACACGAAAGGAGTTATGCCCATGTGCAATCGCATGTGTCGATCCAGGCTCCCTTTCTGGTTGAAAGACTTCCCACAGTAAATACAAATTAGCCTCTCATTGTATGGATACCAATGACCTCTTGCATTCCTTTCCCGTGGACTACTTTCATATCCTGGATTACTCACCATGGATTCATTGTCAGCCCCTTGCACCAAGCCCTGGACATCACTGTGCAAGTGACCCATGGGTACCCGTTTTTGGCGTGCACGACCCCCTCTGAAACAGCTCAGCATTGACCTTGAAGGACTTGTATTGCTCAGGCTTCCAAAGGTTTCTGACACACCTGTAGCCTGTGATGAGGCATGGGTAAACGAATAAACGTGTTGTAAGACAGACCCATAGGAACCAACATTTACTGCCACGACCTGCTCTCCATCCACCATTTCGGTGTGATATCCATCGTCACCAAGGGAAGAGCTATCAGAGCAGCTTGGCCTGTCAGACTTTTCCATTTTAACTTTGACCTCTGCAATCTGACTTTCCCTTACTATCAGGTCTCCTTGCTCATGATCACCTTCAATCTGAATCTCATATTCAGAGATACTCCCACTGCTCCCTCGGTCTGAATGCCCTTCTTCTTGCAGACGACTACGTAGAGATTTGCCTGGAGTAGTTTCCATCTGAAGATCACTGCCTGCTGTTGACTGTCGCACCTGAGAGCAATAGGGAGGAGATATCTCAATAGGATTGGCAAAATAGCTGCTGTCTTTAACGCCGTTGCGATTCTCTGAATTTTCTTCAGCACCAACAGTGACAGAATCAACATCACCAACACTGATCTTTGAATGGATACTCTCCAGTATCTGTGTGCACTTGTCAATGACACACTGCATCTGTAGGAAGCTAGCTGCAGTCAGAAAGCTGACAACATCCTTCAGCTGCAAGGACATCCTTCCAGTGTAACAGAAAGAAAGCAACTGTTCAAAAACACTGGGGTTTTTAATAACTGATATTGATAGGCCACTCATGGTGCTCAGTGCTGAATGGTCGCGGAAATACGGAGAACTGGCAGCCAGCACAGCTTTGTGGGCGCGGAACGGCTGACCCTGGATGTGCACGATTATGTCACAGAGCTTCCCTTGCAAGCGGAGTTCGTTTAACTGGCTCAGAACAGTGCTGCTGTACTCGGGCACATCAAACTGAATGAAACTGCTGCTGTCCATTTCTACTGATGAAAAGAATAATCTGAAAGAAAAATTAGAAGATTTACAAATGAGAATTAATACAGTTTTCCCTTTCAAAAGTAAATGCTTGCAAATGTTTAAGTTAAATCATCACATTGGTAAGTTAACGGTGCCTTACAACAAAGCATTCAGCGCAAGTACTCGATATAAAATAAAAAGTAGGGTTTTAATCTACCCATTTCTTGGTTTTCTGTAATTTGAATTATCCCTCTGCAGCATTCACAATGGAATTGCTCAGAATACATCACAGGCTCCTTGGGACAGTCTGTGTCCTCAAAGAAACTTTGCAATTCCACTCCCTGGCAAAAACTGCAGAACAATACCTTCACCCTCCCAGAAGAATATAGATTTTATAGCCATTGGGCAAGGAAAACACTTCAGAAAGTTGAGCAGGTATTCAAGCCAGACACTACAGTGATACTTGCAGGGACCGCTTTGCTGAACTGCCCAAAAATGATTGCTGGAAGGTACTTCAGGAGGTTTGAGAAACCTGCTAAAGAAAAGCCACAGGCACACACGTGTGTGTGCTTGTGCATTTGAAAAAAAGTGTCTGAGCCACCCATGGACTTGCAATTTCTTTTTCTTAATTTTCATTTGCGATTTTTAAAAAAATAGAGCATGATGTGAAGCTCATCTGACACAGCAGTGATTTCTTAGCAAGAATGATCTGACATTTAAATTCTAACCCAACTTACAAAGTCATGGGTACTCAAACACCAGGAAAAGACATTGCAAGAGGCTTTAAAGAATTTGCAAACCAGACTTCCAAACAAGAGCTAAAGAAAAGCACTTTTCACAGAGCACTATGGTAAAAAGCACACACACTCTCGTCACCCTGAGAGTGTCTATCTGTAGCATCACCTTACATTTCCAAGACTGCACACTAATCAAACGCCCAAGAAATCTTCTCACTTGTATTGCTATTCTTGTTCTGATTAATGCAGAAGTCTAAACACAATATTGCCACCATACCTGCTCTTCCCATTGAATAAACAGATCTCAAGATCATCCACTGACTTCGGATGCAGGAAGCATGTCCAATGTACCACAATATACTAGTGGATTTTTTCCTATTTATGTCTTATGTTACATGCTGTAATGGGACATATGAACAATTTAAATCAAATTATGAAAATTCAGGCATTCTAAAAACAAAATTGAGAGGTAAGAAATATGACAAAAAGCCTGAAAGGAAGAACTGGAGCTCTATCAGCTGTCTGCCACTTCAAACTAACGTTCATAATCTTCACAAATGGAACTTTCCAGCAGACACAAAACAGCCAGCTTCCTGACTGCACATATGTCTGATTTCGAAAACCAGTGAAAACTCTCACAAAGCATTCAAAATCAAGTTAGCAGAGTTGCTAAACATGTTCTGTAAGTTACCAATCTCAACAATTCAAATGGGTAAACCAGACTTCATTTGAGTTTTTATAGTTGTGATGTAAAAGCAGGGGAAAAGATGTTTTACAGGCTGTTTTATCTAAGGTGGGAAATAAGGACTGCAAGATGGTTACCAGGAGTGACAGGATTGCAGCCATCCATTCAGGGATGGCGTTGGCAGGACAGCTCCTTAACTCAGCAGTTCCGAGCTGAGAGCTGATATAAGTCAGAAACCAAACAGCACAACACAACCAACCCCAGCCCAGCAGTGGGGTAGTTACAAGGCAAGATTAACTGTGTTATTTCGAGCATCCCTCATGTCCCAGTCCTGTGGGAAATAGATACAGGAGTCTCAGCAGTTTGGTGCATGTTTGTCACCTTCACTCGCATCTGACAGGGCAGCAGGCTTCCTACAAACCCAACACAGGCCGTTACCTTTAACTTGTGGGGCTTATTAGCTACGGGCAGATGCAACGTCAGCCACTCCTGCTTAAGTTTCTATTTGCTAAGTGGAGGAAGAACTTTTGTTGACATGAATTGACAAGTCACCTGGGCCAAGGACTGTGTACAACTACAAGACCAGTCCCCAGCAGCAATAATTTGACATTCTTGTCTAGGATGTACAGAAAGTTTGCCATGTACAGACAGTGGAGTTCCTTCTTGTCCCATACTTCCCTAAGAGCTCTTACTCAGCAAAATGAAGAACAAATTAGTCCTAGAGAAAATATTAAAATCACTCATCACTAGCACTGGTCCAGACAGAAGGAATGAACTAAGGATAGGCATCTGAGCAGAAGGAAGATGGGACATCTTTATGCCTTACCATGGAGGAAAAAAATTATGTTCTTTTGCTCACGGCACTGTCCCGGTCCGATAAGACTCTGGAACGTTCAACTGATTCCCCCAATGTGAATCAAGACACAAACGAGGTCAAAAGACCATTAGGGAGTGAGCCTTTATTATTGGTCACACCAGGGGGAGAGAAAAGGCAGTAAGAATTTAGAATCAGGAAGGGGGGATGTAAGCAAGATTTGAGATGCCAAAGCAGATACAGTCATCACCAAGGATCCAGCGGCATTCTGACGATCCGTAGTTGTGCAAAAGCAAGGATGGTCACTACCAGAGATCCAGCAGTGTTCTGATGATCCACAGTCATCTTTTCTTCAGTGGTGGGTGCACACACCCTCTCTGGACACTGGTCCTTTTTTATAGGGCTCTGCCAGGGCGCTGGTTGGTCAGTTCTCCATGAGTTTTGGGGTGAGCTCATAGTGATTTCCAGAGCAGGCACCTCATGATTCAGGTGTGGCCAGAGATTTTGTGGTGTACAATAGTGTCTCCTTACCTCGGCAGCCCCTTACCTTTGGTGGTGTACAATAGTGTCTCCTTACCTCCTGGAAATCCATAGTGATTTCCAGAGCAGGCACCTCATGATTCAGGTGTGGCCAGAGATTTGGTGGTGTACAATAGTGTCTCCTTACCTCGGCAGCTGTCAGTTACTATCTGGCAGCTGGAGGATTTCAGTGGTGGACAATGGCACCTCCTTATCTCAGCAGAGGGTTTGGGTGGTGGACAATGGCTGGAGGCATCCTGTGGCTCAGCAATCAACCACAACTTTGCCATACAACAAGCCAGACAATATGGAATCAAACACTTCTTAAAGGTCCTTTACAGCATCTTGGCATCTCTAGATGAATTCACAGTCCCTGGGAAGTGGCTCTGCATTGAAACTGGACTCTAAACACACATCAGAGAAGGTGTGAGAACCAGGAGACGGACATCAACTGAATCCTGGGCTGCACCCAAAGGAGTGTGGGCAGCAAGTCAAAGGAGGTGATTCTCCCCCTCTGCTCTCGTAGACCCCACCTGGAATACTGCACGGGTTCTGGTGCCCTCAACGTAAGAAAGACGTGAAACTGTTGGAGCAAGTCCAGAGGAGGCCACGAAGTTGATGAGAGGACTGAAGCATCTCCACTAAGACAGGCTGAGAAAGTTGGGACTGTTCAGGCTGGTGAAGAGAAGGTTGTGTGGAGACCTCATAGCAACCTTCCAGTATCTGAAGGGGCTACAGGGGAGCCAGAGAGAGACTGTTAGGAACTGCAGTGACAGGACAAGGGGGAATGGATTCAAATTGAAGGAGGGGAAATTTTGGTTAGATATTAGGCAGACATTTTTTACTGTGAGGGTGGTCAGACCCTGACCCAGGTTGCCCAGGGAGGCTGTGACTGCCCCAACCCTGGCAGTGTTCAGAGCCGGGTTTGATAAAGCCTTGAGCAACCTGCTCTGGTGGGAGGTGTCCCTGCCCAGGGCAGGGGCTGGGACTAGATGATCCGTAAGGTCCATTCCAACCCCTAAAATTCTATGATTCTATGACACCAAGGAGAAAGGGATCCATGGTGATCCTTGCACATCACAACTCTGTCACAACATTCCATTATCTCCACACACATATACATATCTGTAAGTAAATCTAAATCCTGGTTCTCGGACGTTTTTAATCTCTCTTTTGGGAAACAAAGAAGCTTATTTTGCTTAAGATGTTAGGAGTAAACAGCACAAATCCTGGCAGTGAGTGGACAGGATGACAGAGTTAAAGGTCTGTAAGTCTGGCTCTCCATGTACCAGATAAGCAGCAAAAGCCAGCAACTGGGCTCAAAAACATACAGAGTTGCTTTGAAAGCGAGTAAATGGGGCAAGTGCACAAAACACAGCCCAAAAAGCAGTGGACAACAAGGTTCTATACCCATCTGCTCTTAAGAAACGAAGTGAACAAGCTACAGCACGCACTTGTGACTAATTTTCCACTTTTGTTTCTTCCTCGCAGATGCGTGTTTCCTGTGACCTTGAAAACATCTGTGGAAAGCCAGGGTTAAATGAAAAGAATTTTGAACAGCAGCAGCACTTGACAGAAGGGAACCCTTCTTCTGCCTTCAGCCACAACCTTAAATCTCCAGCTGGAGGTCCTGGAACTGATGAGGTTGCCAATGGAAACCCCACTCAGGAGTAGCACGACTGCACCAGGAACAGCACTGAGGCTGCAGTAATTTTGCTGGGGTTAGTACCAGGGCACCCTAACTTCCTTACATCAATTTAGGAGAGCAAGACCTGGGAAAAACCTGGGCATTACACACATCAGAGAAGCAGGCACCACTAGCCATGTTTTATAGGTGAACAACGGCCAGAAGAAAAGTGATCTTATTTATTCACATAAATCCCAAATGTATCTATCTAGAAAATAAAAGTAATCTTTATATTCCCATACCCAAGGTTTTATTTTATTTGTATATAGGACTGAGTTAGCAGCACCATAATAAAATTGGGCATTACACACATCAGAGAAGCAGGCACCACTAGCCATGTTTTATAGGTGAACAACGGCCAGAAGAAAAGTGATCTTATTTATTCACATAAATCCCAAATGTATCTATCTAGAAAATAAAAGTAATCTTTATATTCCCATACCCAAGGTTTTATTTTATTTGTATATAGGACTGAGTTAGCAGCACCATAATAAAATTCTCGTAAAATTAAATAATGTTTTTTTTTTTATTGTACCATAACAATAGTCAATTATTCATCAGCACTGGCAGACCAGCAACTCTTTCAAGACAATATGGTTATGACTGAAAGTCCTGGAAGATCACTACGAATAAGCACCTCAATTTTTCAACAGCTTCCTCCAAGTTGAAATATCTCCCTAACCTCTTCTCTTTTGGGGTGAGGCATGTGGCATCAAACTGACGTATAAAGGACACATCCACTGTACGCTTAAAAGAAAAAAAAAATCTCAACAGTTAACCAGACAGTCATAATGAAACAATTATACACACAGTGTACAGGACTGTATACATTGTACATATATACATTGTATATATGTATATATACAATATATTGTATACTCTTTATCAGATTGGCAGAAGTGAAGGAAAAAAAAAGCTCAGTCAGAAGTCATATTCAGCACAGTCAGAGGGAACCTGCATTATTTAGGCTCAGTATAGAACTGTAGCTCAGAATTATGACAATTTTATTTGCAACATACAAACTCAAGCATTTAGGGGGCAGTGAGAACTTGGACAACTCACAGCAATGTTAGGTACTCTCATTGTCAAAACGTAATGCATTTTGTCTTGCTTTAGCTTTCACCCTGGCCTGTGAGTTAGTGTAAAGTTAGGGCAAAGACCTGTAAAATTTCAGTCCACCTCTGGGCACCTATCTACAGATAGGTCCTCTCCTAACCCTTCTGCAAAGGTAGATCAAAGTGTTTAAGGTTTTCATAGCTATTATGTATCTGAGAAACTGGCTGAAGGCACAGGCCAGAACTGGACACCAGGTTCACTAACTCCTAGCAGGGCTCTGTGTTGAGCATCCTGTCTATTTCTGTAGTGATCCAGTCCCATGCAAAAGAATCATATCAATTCTCTTTGCATCTGCATTACATTTATTCATTAGGGTTTTACACAGCAAACATAGGCCACAGAACGAATGTCCTAGTAGTGGATCACTGCCCTATGTCTTCTAACAAAAATGTTCATTGAAGCAACCTGTGAACATCAGAGTGGTAGATTTAACATTCCTCATTAGATTTCAAAAGAAACTTACTTTAAAAATTATGTTCTATGAAAGCTCT